AAGCTTTTGAGTTGTTTCAGGTATGTTGTCCATTTAAGGTTGTCATCAAAAAATATTCCTAATATTTTAATGGTTTTGTATATAAGTATTGATGGATTGTATAAGAATAGGTGTTGGTTTATTTTGGGTTTATAATTGAAGACAATACATTGACTTTTGGTGGGGGAAAATTTAAACCGGTTGCTTTGGACCAATTTTGGAGGGTATGTAGTGATGATTGAAGGATCTTGAATGTAGTTTTTATGTTATTTCCGTCACAGTATATATAGCAGTCGTCAGCAAATATTATATGTTTTGTTGGATTAGGTATTTTTCGGAAGATATCATTTATTGCTATGAGGAACATTGTAACGCTTATTACTGATCCTTGCGGGATACCATTTTCAGTGAGGTAAGGTTTAGAGATTTCATTGTGTGCTTTGACCTGTATTGTACGATTGCTTAAGAAATTTCTCAGAAAGAGAAACATTTTACCGTTGATATTGGTCTTTTGTATTATTTTGACGATTCGGTTACGCCATGTCATGTCTTTGGCTTTTTCAATGTCAAGAGCGATAAGACATAGGTGCTGTTTGTTGTTTTTTGCATTATTTATGTCGGTGTGGAGTTTTACGAGGGTGTCTAATGTAGAATGATTTCGGCGGAAGCCACATTGTTCTTCGGTGAAAAAGTTGATTGCCTCCAAGTGCCAAATGAGACGTTTATTTACAATTTTTTCCATTATTTTCCCTATTGTGTTTATAAGTGATATTAGACGATAATTATCTAAATTAAATTTGTTTTTGTTGGGTTTTGGAATAGGAATAATAATTGCATTACGCGACTGATCGGGGAATACGCCATTATTCCAGATCTCATTGTATATTTTAAGAAGTTGGGTAATACCATTGGAGGGCATATTTTGTACAAACGAGTAGGGTATGTCGTCCGGCCCGGGACTTTTGCTTTTGCAGCTTAACATGGCATTATGGAGTTCTTTTTCTCTTTTTCATTGAAGGGGATATTAAGATGACTATCTTGATGGTGAAATTTGTTATTGAGCTCGTTGATGATTAGATTCTCATGGTTGTGTTTGTAATGTGTAAAATCAGGATCAAAATTTGAATCACAGCTGTTTTTTGTGAAAGATTATGCAAAGACTTCGCTTATGTCTGTTGGAGATGAGAGTTGTATATCATTATGTTTAAGAATAAGTGGGAGAGGATGATGAGTAAGACCTTTGATTGCTTTGATTTTTTGCATATTACTGTTGAGCAGGTGTTGGGGGGTAATTGAATTTGTGGATTTTTGCCAGGATTCCGTTTTGTGTTTTTTTGTTATATATCTAGATTCTGCTTGAGTTTTTTTAAGGTTTATGTGGTCTGTGAGTGATTTAGTTTTTTTAAATTTATTTAGAAATTTTTTGTATTTTTTTATTGCTTCTTTACATTCTTCGTTCCACCATGGTACTGTTTTCCTTCTGTGTGTTGTTTTTGTTTTTTCGATAGCTATATGGAGTTTATTTGTGTATCTAAATATGTATATATTTAGTATCAATTTTTATAGGATTTTATAGTAAATTTTGATTAACGAGATCTTGATAAAGTTCCCAATTGGGTTTTTTTAGGTTCCAATGTGTGTGTGTGTTTGATGATGTTTTCGGTGTTTGGTCCAGTAGGGTTAAGGATATGGGCCAATGATCACTACAGTTGTATTCATTGAGAACATGCCATTCGAATTGAGGCGCGAATGAGCTATTGTTTATTGATAGATCTATGGCAGAAAAAGATTTATTTGTTGAGTTATGTCTGGTGAATTCTCCGGTGTTGAGTAGAATTAGTTGGTCGTTTTCCAGAAATGTTTCGATTGTTTTACAGAGGGTCAGTATGGTTTGAACCACACAATAAATTGCGACTGTTAAAATCACCCAAAAGAAGGAAAGGTTTGGGTATTTAATGAATGATTTGGTTAAGGTCGTGAAGAAGTAGAGCGGCGCTGTATTAAATGAATTGTTATACCTTATTAGCATGCAATATTATGTCTAGCTGATAACATTTTAAATCCTATGAAATATGAGATCAAAGATGACTAAGGAGCGTTTAAAAATTAGTTTTTTACTTAAACATTTATCAGCTTTAATTATTCAAATATTAACAAATTGCTATTGTATATTATTTGACATAACTATTGATTAACTTTCGGGAAACTGAAGCTTTATCTTCTTTAAGACTTACCCATGAAGTAAGAATTAAAAAAGAAAATTATTTTAATGATGGTTTAGGGGAGTATTTATCTCTACTATAATAAAAACAATTAAATAATAGTTCTTTAACTGAAAGTTAATATTATAATATAATATTTAACAGTTACATTTACATGCAACATCCTAGATACCTACCAACAGAATGTATGTGTATTGCAAACATTTAACTATTTAAGTACCTAAGTTATGGTTATGTCCATTAAGAAATGTAAAAATTGCTACCATCCTATAATTGCAAATTATATAGAATAATATGCATTATAAATTATACTATACTAAGCAAAGTAAATGGATAAAAGTTTAATAAGCAGTGTATGAAAAATAAACAAATATTCTTTCCATCTCAGAATCTAATAAATGAATTATTTAATTATTTTTTAATGACTGGGCACGTTGTATAAGTTACTTATCTACTCACTCTAACATATTTATCCATTTTTTTTTTTTTTTTGTGTCCGTAGTATTTAGTTTAATATTTTTGTATTAATTTGAGATTTACATTCTGTGTTCTTTGATCTCCCCTTTTTGTTGTTCTCAGTAGGTACTAACTTTATTAAATCTACTATGGTGACACATATAAATTTTTCTAAAACACAATAATTATTATTTTAACCCTTTCACTACCATTGTCCATTTCAACGGACATGCATTTATATTCATTACTGTACATCAACATTTGATTACAATGACGTTATTTTACATTTTAATTGTTCGCTAAATTGTATAGATTAAGATAACCGTCTATAATTTATCTATAAATGATAAGGTTTATGTAAATTAATAATTAACAATAGAATATTTTAAACAGATGGTTATGCGTAAAAGTATTCAACATTTTAGATTCTGAGTGAAACGATGAATGTATTGATTTTACAATGATGTGTGATTTTTTTTATTATTTTATTTTTTATTTTTTTTTTTGTGTCTGTCATCACGTTTAAGGACAGTAAAAGTGCTTGGATTTTCTTCAACAGAGGGAATAACATTGATTTATCTAAATATATTGTCTCATAACAATTTAAACTTACATTTTTAGATTCTGAGTGAAACGATGAATGTATTGATTTTACAATGATGTGTGTTTTTTTTTTAATTTTTAATTTGTTTTAAATTTTTTTTTATTTCCAGTAGTTTTCACAAGCGCCGGGAAAAACAACTTAAAAATTAAGTCTATAGGAAAGTCAAATTAAATTTCTATGAGCGTTTGAAATTCAATTTTGTACAACATTGGATATTCACTCGATTTCTCATGTAGCGATTTCCTTATTTTGTTGTATTTCAAAAACGAATAACTGTAGATGCATGAAAATTTCATTGAATGTTTACATTACCATTTCCTATAAACTGTACAATTTTGAAAATATTTTGACTCTTTTTGAGCTGTTTACCGACATTTACAGCATTCAATTTTTTTTAGTTTTTTTTTTCTAAAAATACTAATCAAGTTTTATCTGTCGGGCCAAAAAGTGTAAACATTTAATACAATTCTCCTGATATATTATTACAATATCAGTTGAAAAATATTAAAAATACATTGGCACAATTTTTTTTTTAAGCATTAAAGATCGAATTTTGACAACATTTATCAAAATTAGACGAAAATTATCAATAATTGTAATTAATAAATTATAAAATGTAAAGTTTTTATAGCTAAGGATTACAATTTTAAAGCAAAGGTTCTCATAAATAGTTCATACTGTAACCAAAAATCTAAAAAATATGAACACAGTTATTTTTACAGACATTTTAAATTCAAATTTGGACGAAATTACATAATAAAAAACCTAGAGTTACTATTTTAGTTATTTTGTTGTGATTGTATAATATTATTCGTGTATACTTGAAACTTCTAAAGTATACTACTATCAGGGCCGTCCCAAGGTTTTTCGGGGCCAGGGGCAAATTAATTTAGGGGCCCTTCGACCATAATAATAAGATATGATAAACAAAATACTCACTGAGAATAACAAAATGTTTGTAAACGTATTTTTCCAAACATTAACCAATCAAGCACTTTTAAATTCATGTATTGCATTACATACTTACATAATAGAATTGAATATTATTCATATTATTTATATGAATATTATTCAATAAATTATTAGCAATTTATTACCATGTATAGTGTATACAGAAAACTACAATTTATTCCTAGATAAATATTCAAGGAAAATAATATGAACTTGGATGTTTATAGGATTAAATAAATAGATAAGGTAAATTAAGAAAATTAAAAAAAAAATAGTTATATTATTTTATTATATTAAATAAACAATAAAATGTATATCAGAACACCTTTATCCTAGCTTTTTTTTCAGCAAAGCTGTCTATAACATCATCATAATCTAGTCTTTGCCAACTTGTGTTCGATGGAGAGAAGTATTAAATGATTTAGGCGGTTCTCTTCTGTAGTTGAACGTAAATAACTTTTTATTAATTTCAGTTTACACAGTTCCCGTTGACACAGACGTGGGAATGGTAGAAAGTATTCGAAGACAAATACATATTTGAGGCAGTATATTTTGAAGTCCTTTCTTATTTATTTGATTAAGAATAGAAATCGATGCAATTTCGCCATCGTTAAAAATAATTGTTGATACTTTGTGTATTTTGAAATAAATTCGTAGTTCCTCTTTTAATACATTAGCACACACATCATTAGGATATACACTTGAAATTATATCAGCTTGAGCTTTCAAATATTCAGCACTTGGTTCTTCTATATCTGGTGGACTGATTATTGAAGAAAATGTGTTTGTTATTTTTCCATACTTGTTTGAATACCATAAATATCTGACAAAAGCCTATATAATGCGGTTACAAACACTTCAACTTTAAATTTGTTTTCAATATCATTGAAAGGCTGTTCATCTGAAATATCATCGTGAAAATGTTTTTTTCTTCGAACTCTTGAAGTTATTCTAAATGTAGTTAAATTCACAGTGGAAGCTACTGATTTACATTCCAGTAATAAATCATTCCAAGAGTCTTTTATCTGTTGAATTTCTGTAGCTAATTGTTGAAAATGCATAGAACTTTCATCTATGGAAAGTTTTTTGCTCTGAAGAATTTTATTACGATCATCAATACACTGAAGAACCTTATACCATATAGTTGTTAACAATATAAATCCAAAGGAATGTAACCATGAAATTAGACCAACAGCTTCTGCATGGTAATCTGCAGGTAGATTAATTTCATTTTTAACACGAACAAGTGAATTTAGAATACCGGAATAATTTTTAGATAATGGACGAATAGCATCAATTCTGGCACTCCATCTAGTAGCTGATATTGGATGTAGTGAAAGGCCAGCAGTTTCTTGAAGTATCTTCCATCTTGATGGACTACAAGAAAAAAAGTTGTATAGCTTTTGAATGTTTCCAAAAAATGTTTTTACTTCTGGACTGGTTTCCATTGCATGTACTCCACATAGATTTAAAGAGTGGGCACTACATGGTGAGAACAAAGCTTGAGGATACTTCTCTATTATTTTACTTTTCACGCCGTTATATTTGCTGCATTATCATAACCTTGACCCCTGCATAGTGCTAAATCTAAATTACATTCAACCAAAATATCTTCTATTTTGTTTGCAATATCAGCTCCTGTTTTTTTTTTCATAGTCAACCATTGTTAGAAATCGTTCTTTTCTATCCCAAGTTCCAGCATTTTCAAATACATACCTTATAACCAGGGCTCGTAACTTCATGCACTAAAAAATGCATAAATAAGCATGCATTCATGCACTAAAAATTGTCAAAATATGCATTAAAATATGCACTTAAAAGTTCAAAAATATGCATTTAGATGCATTAACATTTTTAAATTATACACTCAAAATATGCATTATGTAAAAAAAACATGACCAAATTTTAAAATAATAAGAATAAATCCATACATTTTAAAAGTATTTTATTCCTTTTAATTTTTATATATTTAACAGTCAAAATTAATAAAATAAAAAATAAAATTAATACTTGTGAAGTTCAAATACCTTTGTCATCTTTATAAATTTTAATTAGGTAGTCAATTTTGTCTAATTTGTTTACACTCTTATTCAGCACCAACAATGAAAACATTTGGAATGAAATATTAGGTTTTTCATTTAGAGATAATTTAGTAATATATATTTTATAAGTGTTTTTTTTATGTTTTCCAACAAGAGGGCGCAAATAGACAATTAGTAGACAAAATTTGGCATAAAACCATGGTTTCGTAATTCAAGTAATACGGCTTATTGAAGTGGTTTACAGTAAAAATACCTATTATAAAAATTGTAAAGTAGAACTTTTTTTACAATTGTAAGAAGCCTGATTTTCTATATTTTTATTAATTACCCAAATAATTACTCAATAAAAAATTTAAAAAATCGTTATAATTTACCATGCGATATTGGACGATTGGAACAAAATATCAAAAATCGGAAGAAACTTTTGAAATATTTGTCTAAAAAATATTTTTATGAAATAATATGCACTAAAGACTGTAAAAAATCAACTATATGAAAAATATGACTTTACACCCAAAACATGCAAAAACATGCACTATCAAACTTCATATTATTATTACTATTGTTATGAAACGGATTTGTATCTCAGTTAGCATGTTTTCCTGTGTGGCAAAAAAAACATGCAGATGCATGAACTTACGAGCCCTGCTTATAACGAATACCAATTGTTTTTTGTGTGACACGTCTGGAGTACCGTCTACAATAATTGCATAATATTGACATTTTTTTATTTCTTCAATAATTTTTTGTTGAACTTTTTTGGCACAAATTTCCAAAAACTCATTTTGACTTCGTGGAGACAGATAGTGAGCAGACATTTTTTTACCACTGTCTTTATATTCCTTAATAGTGTCCAAATGATTTTTCATTGTTTCGCTGTAATGACTAACTAATTTTGCAGTTGAAATAAAAAGCCCACAGTCATCATGATCAATCGTTGAGTGTGTGCCTCTAAATGGCAAATTATTTTCTGCTAAAAACAATGTGATGTCTACTAATACACGAAGGAGTTTTCTCCATTTTTCTTTCTCTGTGTTAATAGAAACTTGTAAGTCTTTGTCGATCCCTTTTCTACCATTTATTGCTTCTACCGAGTCCTTCCATAATAAATATCTTTCTATGTGTTTCTTATTCCCTTAGTGGTTATCGATCTTGTCATAAAGTTTTCTCCAATTATTTCCAATACCATTTCTACAGAAAGCCGACGGCTCAAAATCATCATCCCTTAAAAAAAGACAACACGGAAAGCAAAACAAAGCTTTTTTTTAGTGTACTCCATACAAGCCAGTCGCGTTGTACTGTTTCTTTATTTGGTAAGATTTTTTGGAAAAGTGAAATGGGATTCTCATGTTCATCATGGGGAAACTTTGAAGGCTTAGTAGGTGGACCAACTGCAGCTAAATAGTCGCGATCTGACGAACTAAGTTTTTTCCAAGTTGCTGGATCGTTACTTATTTTAAACATTTCGGCAGATTGTTTGTTGGAATTGGCTTCAATAATGCCTTTGGAACAAAATATATTATTGTCAATAACATTTTTATCAATTTCCTTTACACTTTCATTTTCGTTAATTTGTACACATTCAACTACCTCATTATTTTGTTTGTTAATAACGTTTTCAGTATTTTCTTTTGGATAAAGAACAACTGTATCATCGATTTGACCATTTTTGGGATCTCCTACATGGATATTTAGTGATTTTTCATTTTCTAATACCTCGGGGTCATCAATATCACATCGTTGCTCATTTATATCATTTTGAATCAAGTTCCTACTTGACGAACACCAACCTAAATCATGTAAATTACGTTTTCCCTTTTCTTCTTTAAGTTTTTTATTATTTTTTGCCTTCCTCATCGCAGCACCCGATAAATACACATGCTTCATTATTATTATTTTTTTATTATTAACAACTCTAAAGTCATACAAAATAAGTACCTAGTGTAAGTAAATTATCTTAATTTTATTAATTTTGTTTTAAATAAATTATCAGAAATTAAATTAAGTGATCAAATACGGTAAACGGAAAAAAAAGTCCCCCGTTTAAATAATATTATAAGATATAATTTATTCAATTTTGAATTAGTTTACGAGGGGTAAACCACATATATAAATAAATAAATGTTTATATTTTTTAAATAATATTATTATAAGATATATTTTATTCAATTTTTAATTAATTTACGAGGAGTAAACCACTAATCATAGAATACAATTTTATAGGCATGCATACAATAAATAACGGCAAAAATTGAAATGTCCGTAAACAGCTCAAATCAAGTCAAAATATGTTGAATAGTTTATGATCTATAGAAAATGCTATATAATATTTAGATAACCAGTAAATAAAAAAAAATGTAAAAACATTTATCTTCAATAAATTTAACATGTAATAATGTATGTAAATAGGTATAACCGTATTGTGGGCGATTATTGTAAATTTCACCGATACTTTTTTTTACCTGAAAAAAAAAATGTAAATTCCACCAGTACCTACATGTTTTTGAACTGAAAACACGTAAACTCCACTGATGGTAAAATCCACTGTCCACAGATTACAACTAATTTTAGTATAGCTAATATATATTATAGCTACACATCAACTTTCGACTGTACAAAACCTCACAAACATTCACTTATATTAAATAAACAGCATTAACGAACCTAATTAAGTAATAACCTTAGAAATTCACAATCAAAAACACGCCAAAAATATTTAAGCACCATCATTTCGTCATTCAAGGAAAGAAATATTATTACCATTTTGCAATTCGTCAAAGCTGCATCTAATCATTATCAATCCAAATTTTAAATTTTTTTGTAAGTACCTAATTATTTTTTTACTATTAACTAGCTGTTCATTATTGATAAATGATAATTAATAATTGTATTACATATATTTTTTATGGATTTAATTAAAAATTTTTTTCAACTAACGTTTAACTATTGATTATTATATCTTTTATTTTAAATTTCTGTAAAAAAAGTTATAAGTATCTAAATATAATGTGTATAAATAATAAATCAGTACATAAATTATGTACCTAGGTACCTATTTCCCACATATAATGTCACTATTATTAATAATTATATATTTTTTATTTTATTTTTCGATTTATTATTAGGTACTTAATAATAATAGTTAACTATAGTTAATAGTGATAATTCTTGATTATTATATGATTTTTTATTAAATTATTGTATCTAAATACAATAAAAATATTATGTTATTATTATTATTTCGTATGGCGTCAATGAGCAACATCAACAACACTTAGAATATTAAAAGATATAACATCTACATAATTAAAATAAAAAGATGGTCAACAGTGATAAAACTCAACATAAAACATAAAACATAAAACATAAAATATATAAAACATAATACATAAAATAGATAAGGGGTTCCCCATTTGGTGAATGTACGGGTCATGCTATAGCTTCACATCCAGGTTCTTCATCCATTCCACCGCTTCTTCCTTCATCAGGTGGATATCTTCTATGGTGCCTTTAAATGCGTGAATTGGACATTCAGTGATGATGTGATTGATCGTCTGGGATTCATAACCACAGTCACACGTTTCATTGTCACGCAGTCCCCATTTATACATCATGTGACCGCTCCTACCATGACCAGTTCTAATACGGTTTAGTGTTACCCAAGTACTTCTTTCGAGGTCAAATCCCGGTTGTTTGATAGTTGGGTTTGTCACCAGTTTTTGGTTATCTGGATTTTCTATTGTCCAATCGTTTTCCCATTTAGAACTTATATTGAATTTATCTTTGGTGAGATTCCTTGCTGTTTTCCATGGTGGTTTACGCGACTTGAGTCGTTGAACACCTTCTAATGCAGTCAGGTCCGTGTGTATGGGAAGGAAGGGGTTATTAGCGTACTTTATCCATTCTTGCAATAGTGCATGTTCTCTTCGTAACTTAGGCGGAGCAATGTTACTAAGCACTGGTAACCATTTTAGTGGTGTAGACTTTGTCAACCCACCAATTGAGCGCATAGCCGAATTAAGGTGTTTGTCTACGTTCTTTGTGTGGACGCTGTTAAGCCAGACAGGGGCACAATACTCAGCTGCAGAATACACTAATGATAGCGTGCTTATACGTAACGTATTCGCATCAGCTCCCCATGTTGAGCTAGATAGCTTTGAAATGATGCTCTGACGGGTCTTGACTTTTGCTGATAGTCTGGTTAGGTGTTCTCTATAAGTGAGTGTTCTATCTAGAACCACTCCTAGGTATTTTGGGTGTTTCGTATTCGTACTTCCTGACCGCCAAAGTTTATATTTATTTCTTGACTAGCTTTTTTGTTATTCAAATGAAACACTGTTACTTCCGTTTTTGTTGGGTTGGGCTTTAGTCTCCACCGTTTAAAATATGAGTCTAACTTACTAAGGTCGTTGGTTAGGGGCTCTTCTAGTCCCTCAAAGCTGGTACTCTGACTAGCCAGGGCTATATCATCCGCATAGATGAACTTTTTGGAAGATGTTGAAGGCAGATCTTTTGTATATAGGTTAAATAATAGTGGTGCTAGGACCGATCCTTGTGGTAAGCCGTTATTTAGCACTCTCGTCTTACTTTTTTCCTCTCCTATGTAGACGGTTAGTTGTCTATTACTGAGCATATTGTTAAGTAGTGTGAGTAATGTTTTACAGGGGATTACATCGTAATATTATGTTATCTTAGTTAATCGGATTAGATTTGGAAAACGTATCGGTGGAATTTACATTTTTTTTCAGGTAAAAAAACATAACGGTGGAATTTACATGAAAAAAGGTCTAAAAAGTTCGCAATCGGTGGAATTTACATGCTCCCCCGTATTAGTTATAATTACAATTTTAGTATTATTTTATAAGAATAGGTACATATTATAATGATACAGACTATAGCTTAATGCCTCAATACGAAGATATACTAGGTACTTTAAAGACTAATAGAAATATTAAAATTAATCATTTAATAAAAATAAAGACACTTCGTGAAAAAGAAGATCAACTAAAAGTAAATGAAGTTGAACACTAAGATATTGACGAAACGCATGAAATTACAGCGCCAATTCATACACCAAGTACATTAGGACTTAATTTTGTTCAAAAGAAAGACATAGAGTGGATAAACACACCTTGTAATGCACCAATATTAGAACTTCATGAATTAAACATTAATAATGATTTAGTTATTGTCGACCCTCCAATAGATATGCCAACGCCAATTGGTAAGCGGAAAAAAAATCCACGAAAATAAAAGTGTGTTTTATATTATTTTGTTGATTAACTCAAATACCCATCATAATACAATCACATAGTTATTTTATTTTATTTTAACAGTACATAATATTCAAACTATAAATATAATAATTAACAAATGTCTTAAGTGATGATATCATCACAATATTACAGATAATAAAACATAACCATAATAATAATCACAATAGTCGCAAAAATAATAATTGTAATAATATAAAATTTAATAATCAAAAATGTAATAATTATAGTAAAAATATTTTGTTGGTCACACTGTAACATAATAATAATTAAGTAATACAAAAGAGATAAAATATACAATTAACATATAGTATCATAGTCATAATCATAATGTAATATCAATAATATCATGCAACCCAACGTGGATACAACGTTTTCATACGCAGGATAACCTGTAGTGCACCACTCATCTGTTGAACATGCATTTTAAATACAATAGTAATATTAATAAATAATAATAATAAATTTAATTTAGGTACGCACCATCAATGATCAAATTGTCAAGACTAGTTGGTTCAATTGGATTTAATTTTGAACGTTGATTTCTCAAAGTTCTTTTCACATGATCTTCCACTGGCATTTTTGATCTTATGTTACCGTCTAACTTAGCAACTCCTTCTGCATATACTTCTAGTGGCTTAGATAGGCCACTTTTTTTATTGTTCTTTCATAATGCATAGTGCTTTTTCCACATCTACCTTTTCACTATCTCCGAAGTGGTTATGATCGGACTTCAATACAGGGTCTTCTTTTTGAATGTTAGTATATAATTCTCCAATACATTTAAAGGAGGACCTTTTTGAACACCTCCAGGTTATTTTGGATTTACCAAAATGCTTTAAAACATACATGTACCCGTTGTAACACAAATTCTCACAACCTTTATTTGACGTTATAATCTCCATAACTTGGGTGTAGGACGAGTAGGTACAACAATTACAGCCAACAACCAAGTGTATACTAATGGAATACTACATATTATTTTGTTAGTACCTATTTGGATGGATACAAATACCTGTCATTTGTCAATAAATTTCAATTTTATTACCCAACTAATATTTTGACTGTTTTAAGCAAAGTTCAATTTACTTACTTCATTCACTAGTATAAGGGTATCAACAATATAAACTAAATTAAATGTCAAAATTGTTATCAGTAAATGTGTAATAAAACATAATTGGGTGTATTGTGATTCCATTCCCCTTTATAAAACCATTGTAATATAAGATTAAACTTGAACAAATAATAAACACTCATATTATTTTCCAAACTTATATTTATATTATATTAATATAATTATATAATTTCCCAAAGTGCCTTCGCTGGTTGGTTCTTCCCCCAAGATACTACATATATAATGATTTTAAAAAAAACATAATTTTTGCTTATTGTACTTTTTTTTTATTTACAGATTGTATAAACTAGATTAAAAATAAAAAAATATTATAAAATAATTATATTAAATATAGATGTATTAACATTTATTTTTAATTTTAATTTTTTCAGTGGGCTTTTTTTCTGTGGGTTTTTTTCCATGGGATATTTTTCCTTGGTAATTTCTTTTCTATGGGTTTCTTTTCCATGGGATTTTTTTCCGTGGGTTTTTTTTCCGTGCGCATTTTTTCCGTGATTCACGCCAATTAGTATCTGAACAATTTTTTTTCTGTACTTTTATAAATCTACGTGAAAAATTATAAAGTATGGTATTTTTTTTTTTTTTTTTTTTTGGATTTTTATGGAGATACTGGCCTTCGAAATGACGCGGGCAGCTGTAGTATGGAATAATAGGTGTGTCTATTCCGTGACGTCACTCCGCATTACGACGACGACGCAGCGACGCTGCGAGGCGCTGTTTACGCGGCAAACGGGCAAAGCATCCAAGCCCTGCATGGATGGCGCTTTTATACGATTATAATTTATATTTTATAATATTATTCTACTGCATATAAATTCAGTGGTGAATCCATGAATTTTTTTTGGTGGGGCTGGTTAATTACATAATAGAATATAACAAAAAAAAACCCTTAATAACTACAAAATAAGTGTTTATTGACATCATAGGTATATGACGTTGTAAACAATTTGTTTTTTGTGATATAGTTTGACTAACAACGTATGGTACCTATGTATCTTATATTATTTAATTAAAGATTAGTAAGATTAAGATTTTCTGAAATTTCAGGGGGGCTGTAAGCCTGTAACCCTTCAGCCACCCACCACCCATGGATAGGTACGCCACTGTATACAAATAGGTACCGTAATCTAGACGAGTAGGTATTCAGGTCCGGCACTAGCTTTTGCGAAACTCTGGGTGAAATATATTGCGAGACCCTTTTATATTAAAAAAAGTACAAGTTTTGAGCTGCGAGGCCACAGGCAAGGGCCCTGCTCGCACCACCACCCCCGTCGCGCCAGCACTACGAGGATTACAACGGTTTTAAAAATATATTCCTACTTGGAATTCTGTATGATGATTAGACGTTTATAATAATCATTGATGTTTTGTTTTAATGTGTGACAGTGATAAAAAATTGTTTTTCTAAATTACATTAAATATTTATGAATATTTACCATATTTATTTGTTGTGAACAATTAATTTTAGTATAAAACATCTTATTTTCGATTTTAAAAATTATAATGACAACTAAAATTGCTGACCTTAGATTTTTGTGAAACACTAGGAGGCCTTTTGAGAACACAATTGATTTTATTTAACAACACATCAATACATTTGAAACCACGGTCTGCCATTACAGATATATTTTTAGGAATAAGATTTAAAAAATTACTTTTTTCTACTATCAATACATCAGTACATCTACCATTAAAGCCTACTGATATAAAATTAATAAATCCATCTGGAGTTGAAGATATAAGATATTTTAAAGTGTTACATTTTTTATAATCTGACCATGCGTAGTGCTTGTTTAATAGGATCTGAAGGTTTTGGTATTTCTATTTCCAAACAGTCTATAATAGATTGAACAGATGAATAACGATAACGAAAAGGAACAGGTAAAAGTTCTTTTACTAATTTTTCTTCAGTCCAGTATATAAATTGATTAAAATAAGCAGAAAGTTTAGGTAAAGTGTTATGAAATAGTCTGCAAACTAAACTTTCAGATATCCCAAACATATCTCCCAATATTCTGAATGAATCGTTTAATTTTATTTTTATTAAAGTTATAAATATATATCTCTCTGACGCGGTACGCAGCGGCCACCAGTACAAAGTACAGGTACCGCAGCGACACGTCTACTCTTTTGTCAACCACCACCATGGACTACAGGTCAACTCTCCCACTGCGCCTAAAAGGCACAAGGCGGGACGGGAAGGCAAGTCGCGCAAAACGAGTACTGGCCGCCGGCGGTGACTCTCTTGTACGTCAACCGTCCATACGGCAACACACACGTTACCATAACAGCGTACTTTACCATTGTAAAAGAAATCAACCATTTGTATTACCGACAAATAAACGTCCCCCCGTGGAATTCTACGAATACTCCGGTGTTACATTATATTTTACCTTAATCTCGTGAGTGTCACCTCAATCCACACCACTACAACCACCAGCAAACTTGCGACCGTACTACCGCGACACACAGCACCGCCCTAGCCCGCGTCAAATTGGCTCCCCGCTGAGGAATCACCACCGATCTTTAAATCAAATCAGCGTAAAGGTAAGAGTTTTCACGCTGACACATACCTCGGATTAATTGCTTATATTAAATTAGTAATAAGTTATTCGACCAGGAGTGTGTTTGCCGGTTAGCTAGGACTCCATAGAGAACATTACGTAAGAATTATTTCTAGTACGTAACAGGGAATTCCGCGCAGCCGTGCATAACCGTGATAAGGATTGGGAAGTAGTTATATAACAACAACCACCCCTCCGCAACGCCTACCTTTCGCACCGCGACATTACTGCCGATAAACAACACAGCGCGCAGGCCAACACCGAATTCAGCCACTGCAGCCGTCAGCTACCGCCGCCGAGAACGTTGACCCAGTTCTACTATTCTTGGAACGCAACGGCTAACGTGATCGTAAACATACAGTATACATTTCCGTAAACATCGCGCGAAATTCACAAAAAAAAAAAAAAAACAAAAGGCCTCCTCAAAACCATGTACACCACGCAACAAGCACAAGCCACCGACCGTACAACAGTGTAACGATCACATTGGTAAATAATTTTACACAATGTCGGAAAAAACGTTACAACAGTTGTCGTCGGCGGAGCTACGTAGCGAGTGCAGCGGACTCAGCGTGTCTGGGTCGAAGTCGGATGTGTACGTCAGGCTAGAGGAGCACCTTAGGGTAAGCGGACTAGTCCCCGAAAATGTGAGGTTCGAAACAGTGCAGCCCCTAATCTCAGGATTACAGGCAGTACTGAACAACAACAACCCACGACATCAGCGCTGGAAAACACGAACGCCAGCCAGATTTTCGGACAACCGTCTGGGGGAATTTTGACAAGCCCAACAGCAAGTCAAAAAGCCACGGACAACCGGTCAGAAATCTGCGGCTTCCAGTCGACCATGCAGCAGGGCCAGTCCGCACAACCTTTAAAAACCGACATTTTCGAAACCGCGGCGAAACAGCTATAACAGTTAAAATTAATGTTGCCACAAACGAACGACTCAACATCGTTCGAGGCACGTTTAGGGGCACTGGAAGCGAGCATGACGCGGTTCTTCACAGAATCGCGCATGGCAACTGTCCAACTGCCAAATAGTGTAGAGGCCCCGCGGTTAGGTAACCAACCCCCCACCCATCGCCACCTATTATCGGTAGTACGGGCGGAAAAAAATTACGCAAACAAAACGCGCGTAGTATGAAAGTTCGACAAAACGAAAAATCAACTACGAAAATTTTTTCCGTCACATCACCAATCGGCATCCGTTCACAGTCCCCCAACCTACACCACCCCACCACCGAATGCACTCATCTCACCGGTGACACGTGTGTTCAACAACAACCGGCTCATGGGGCAACCACAGGTGTAGGGACAAAGGCAACAGAGACACGGGTGATCACCAACACATGTGACGGGGACACAAGCGCACACACCGCGCATTTCCCCGCATTAGGTCAGTCTGCGCACGTAAAGCAACAGGCGAGCAATGAGGCAACCGATGTTGACAGTATGGTCATGGTGGTTAACACCGACGACCAGACAGTCACCGTCGCGGTTCAGAACCAGTTGTCCCGCTCACCAGATTGCAATACGACTAATAATGGTATACGAACACGTGCAGACAAAATTCCGACCCCCGCGGTCGAACTCGAATTTCCGTCAGGTTTCATAACAGCCCTATTAGATTCGCAGGCACAAAAATCGTACGTAAACCCGACAGTAGCCCGTAAATACGGCAAAACGCCTCCCCACGGACCAAAAAACACAGTCCGGATTGCGGACGGTCACACTGCAACAACCAGTGGCACCTCCACATTCGAAGCGCTAGGATAGGTACACTCGATATAAAATTCGAAGCTACCACCCTAGACAATTTGTATTGCGACGTGTTACTAGGACGACTTTCTTTTTACTTTCTCACATGGGTAGGCAAATTCGTACGTCGACATGTTGGAAAGGGAAACCACAACCACCCGCCACTCGTCCCGACTTGTCACAATTAGAATTTGGAAACGACACCGAAACACGCGCGAGACTAACCAAGATATTAAATAAATACGCGGTAGTATTCAGCGAAAAAGTAGGGCGTACCAAATTAATTGAACACGAAATTATGCTAAAAGACCCATCACCGATCGCGCTCAAAGCATACCCATATCCGCAGCAGAAACAAACTGCTATCGACGATATGGTGCGCGATATGGAACTCCAGGGGATCGTAGAACCAAGCACCTCACCGTGGGCCGCACCGGTAGTATTGGCAAAGAAAAAAGACGGAACATTTCGTCTCTGGGTCGACTACAGGCGGCTTAACGACGTAACGGAATCCGATACCCTATGCCAGATCTCAACAAAATGATTAGGCATATGAGGGGCTCGAACATTTTCAGCATTTTTGACCTTAGGTCGGGGTACTGGCAAGTTCCACTACACGAAAATGCTCTAAAATACACGGCTTTCCGAACACGTAGAGGTCTATTTCAGTTCAGAGTCCTCCCCTTCGGTCTAAAAAATAGTCCAATGACTTTCGTGAGACTCATGAACGAGGTCATGAGGGGGTACCAGGATGATTTCGTACAAGTTTACCTAGATGATATTGTAGTATTCTCAAGGGACGAGAACGAACACCAGGCCCACCTACACAAAGTTCTCGAGCGCCTCAAGAGATTCGGATTAACGTGCAACACAAAAAAATGTAAAATCGGTCTTCGCGAAATTTCATTTTTAGGGCACATTGCAGACTCGGAGGGCATACAAAAACAACCGGAAAAATTGGTATGCATTGACAATTTTCCGGTTCCCAAAAACGTTAGGGACGTACGAAAATTTTTGGGCGTGTGCAATTGGTACAACCAGTTCGTAGAGAATTACGCGGATACCATAGCACCTCTTACTAATTTATTAAAACAGGGGGTACGGTGGAAATGGACAGATGTAGAACTACGCGCGTTCGAATCAATAAAAATCGCGCTAGTCACATCACCAAAATTGTTGCCACCCGATTATAGCAAACCGTTTTGTCTACAAACTGACGCAAGGGAAATAGGAGCCGGTGCGGTACTTTTCCAATGGGGTGACAGACCGGAGGAAAAACGCATAGTGTATTAGTGTCCTACGCAAGCAAAAAGTTTAGCGAAACGCAAACAAGGTACCCCGCGGTAGAGTGCCTAGCAATAATCTGGGCGACAGACAAATTCCGTCCATACCTAGAAACCCGACGTTTCGAACTCCTAACCAACAACTCGGCACTAACATGGTTTTACACAGGGCTAAAGACAAAAATTCAAAATTAACACGTTGGTCACTTCAACTAGCTAATTTAGATTTTAGTACGGTACACGTCCCGGGAATACAAAACGAAGCACCCGATTTGTTATCCCGCGACCCGGCACTGGGCACACCCGTAGACGAAGATCGACTTGAGCATAATTGGTACAGGCACCTGTAACGCCGACAACTAATATTGACCCCGAGTCTGATCGTATCTTCACCATGTTCGATAACCACGTCAGTGACGACACACCGCTCATCGTGACGACACTCGAAAAGTGGCAGTCCGAAGACGCCGCGATTCGCGATAGAGTCGCCGGTCATAAGTGGGACGGTCCAACGCGGAACACTAGGAGCACAAAATCGGGAATACATATGTTTTTTCCGACGGTCTCTTACGCGTAAACATAGGGCCCCACACACCCATCGTGATACCGAAAACAAAAATACAACACGTAATTTGGAGGTGTCACGATCACGTCCTATCCAACCACCCGGGCTGGAAAGAGACGTACCGAACGGTTCGACAACGGTATTATTGGAAAGGTCAAAAGAACGACGTCAAGTCGTATGTCGGTGTGTGCCACGTATGCGCGTGCACGAAACCACTAAACTCGCGTCCGAACGATCCAATACAACCAAGAACCCCCCGGCAACCATGGGAAGTTATCTGTGTCGATTTAATGGGCCCATACTCATCCGGTAAGGGAAAATCGTACATACTGGTAGCAACCGACTGTTTTAGTAGGTGGACCGAGGCTTACCCCTTAGGAACAGCAACCTATAAAACAACAATCGAAACGTTAGAACGCGAGTTCTTTTTGCGTTTCGGTTACCCGCGTGTGTGTCTCATTGACAACGGCCCACAGTTTGTGTCAAACGAAATGTTAAACGCGTTAGAGCGCTAGGGGGAACAGGGTTGGGCGACTCCAATCTACCACCCAAGGGCCAACCCAGTCGAACGCCGTAATCAAGATTTAAAAAGAGGTTTGCGTGCACAACTAGTCGACGGCAAACATAAATCTTGGGACACAAAATTACCCTCAATTATTTTTTCGATATGGAACAGGTGCAACGAACAGACATGCTACCCACCCGCAGTCCTTGTCCTAGGTAGGGAATGCAAGAGACCTGGAGATTCGGCACTATCTAAACTTACACCGGTACACAACGAAAAATCACAGGAAGAGAGAGTAGAGCGGGAAAAACGTATTATAGGCAAAAAGGTAGTGGTAAAGCCGAGCACGAACACCGGCACACCGGTGAAGTTTGCCAAGGGCGATGTAGTCTACTACAAATCACACCACCTATCTAAGGCACATAAAGATTTTCATGCCGGGTTCGCACCAAAGTGGTGGGGACCGGTAAGGCTAGCCAAGCAGGTCGGCAAAGGAGTCTTTCTAACCAACCAACAACCGCCGCGAAAAATACATGTGTCTGGTCTAAAACGTGCGCCCACAGGTCAACACAGATCAATACAGATATCTTCAGAGATAATACCACCTGTCATTAACAATAAATTATTGTAAAAGTTTCCCATTAGTGTCAAAAATGTATAAAATAATTAAAAATTATAAAACTTTACTTTTATTTAAACTATATTTGCTAACTACATTTTCCACATCTAATTTTTTTTCTGTTTTAAAAATAATGGACGATTTAGGGTAGTAGAAGATCTTTTTCGATCAGACTGAACATCAAATTTATGTGGAATGATACCTTTTTTAAGCACAAGTCTTTTTAATCCCATTAGCTTATATTGAATATTATTTTCAAGATCATTTTCAATCTGAAAAAAGAGGATAGTATTAAGTTTGACACCTTAAAATAAATTCTATCAATTTTTTTTTTTTTTGATTAACATAATGAAATATTGTAATGATTTATTTTAGAGCCTTAGAGCCAAAATAAACCCGTTTTAATGCGTTTTTAAAGTTAAGCACGTTCGAAGTCGGAGTAATAAACTATTAAAGATAAAGATGTTACATGAATAGAACAAATAATAATAATATTGAGCGCGACTGCATATCGCATATGTGATGAGACATGTGGAGTGACGTCACAAAAAAGTGGCGGGAAACCAGCCACTTTTAAAAATACATTATCTCGACCCCTACTCCACAATACTCCTAAAAGTGGTCAAAATGATTTTTTTTTTGCATCTTCGAAATATTATTTTGAATATTAAACCGATCAGCTTACATACTATTTCACTAAATATTTAAGTACTTAGTTTAGATGCTAATTGAATATTTCATGAAGTATTTTGATAATACGTTTTTTGAAAATGTTGCTTTTAACACCAATGTATATGCAGTGCAAAATAACAGTAATAATTTTAAACCCACAAGTGCTACAGAAATAAAATCCCTAATCGCTATTCAAATGGTAGTGGGTTGCTTGAAATATCCTAAAAAGGAAATGTATTGGACACGTAGATATCGTGTTAACATTATTGCGTACACAATGACCAAAAACCGATTTTCTTCAATGAGACAACATATTCATTTAATTAACAATTTGGGTATACCTAGAAACAATAAAGATAAATTTGTTAAGGTACGTCCTATTTTTGACACTTTAAATATTCAGGCCCAGATGGAAATGCTGCAGAGCTAATCAAGTTTGGAGGGAAGAGACTACACAACGCCATTTTCCAAGTATGTCAAGAGATATGGAATGAAGCAACAATCATACCTCTATATGCCTCTACGGAGACAGAACGGATTGCCATAACTATAGAGTCATAGTCCTTTTCAACACAGTGTATAAGGTTTTTCTCAAATACTGCATGCCCGTCTCATACCTTACGCTGAGGAATGCATGTTAGTGTACCAATGTGGGTTCCGAAAGGGAAAGTCAACAAATAACTAGCTATCGAATAACTAGCTATCATAGGACAGATAATTAAAAAGAAGTATGAATACCGTCAAAATATGTGGCAGGTATTCGTTGACTTCAAGTAGGCATACGACAATTTCCACAGAGATAGCCTATACAACATAATGAACGACTTTGGTTTCTCGAAAAAATTAATAAAGTTAATTAAAATGTTTATGGAGGAGGCAAATATAAATATGAAATACCGGGTGAGAGTAGACAACGAACTTTCGTCACCTTTTACATTGGAAACGGGGTTGAAGCAAGGTGATTCGTTATTTTCATTATTGTTTAACCTAGCTTTGGAGAAAGTGGTTAGAGAACTTAAAGCTAATGAAGGTGGTATTCAGGTAAACCAAAATAGAATACGGGTTCTAGGTTTTGGGGATGATCTGAATATTCTAGGCGAATCCTTAACGGACCTAGCGAACGCAACCAAAATCTTCAATACTGAGGCAAAGAAAATATGATTACACATGATTACAAATGATAAAATCAAAAAAAAGGAACTGCTAGAAAGTGATGAAGACCTCAGAGATACGGAAGGATTAATCTATGAAAAAGTTGAAGACTTTAAGTACCTAGGTGCAACCCTAAGTACAAAAAACGACTGGGCCATTCAAATAGGTATTCGCATAAGTAAAGCAGAAAAGATCGAGGGCCAAAACGTGTCTACAATAGATGCCGCAAATGAAATTAATCAACTTCAAAATAATTTAGATCAAAAACAAAATTCATACTACCTTCCCCACGCCACCCGTAATATAATGGTAAAATTACAAGAAACTGGTGATATAAATGAAGAAAACGCAAAAACTGCAACGTCTAATTTTTATAAAACAAGCAAAGAATATTTGGAGGTGGTGTCAGTTCAACGAAGAAGTAAAAAAATTTGAATGGGCAAATCTGAGAAAGGTTCCCTCGTAGGAAGATGTACAAAAAGTAATGGACTTACTTATTGAACAGAAATTTATTAGTAGCAGTCAAGACACAGGAGTGTTTGACGAGTTTTCACTAATTTCTAAGTATATAACAGCTCAAAAAATATACGCCTGGAACACCGGGAAAATACCTACTGAAAATCGTCGGGTGGAAGTATTTACGCACTTTAATGCTAATGATCTCTCACAAGTGAATTTTTCTATAATTATTGAATACATTTTGTGTCTGCCAGGCAGTAACGCTCCAGTTGAAAGAGTGTTCTCTCTTATGAATAAAATATGGAGCAGCGAAAAAAGTCAGTTGGGAGTCGGTGTATTAAAAGCCATTCTTATCACAAAGGGTATATCAACAAATCATGTCAAGAGTTCCATACTTACATAAAAACCAAACAGGCTATTTTGAAGCAGATTTGTGGATATATAAATCAGCCGAATAATATACTCTATTATTTATTTTTACATTATTATTTATTATTATTATTAATATATTAGTTCCGTTTTTCTGTTGCCATTTTTTATACAAATACTTTATGTTTTTTTTCCAATAAAAAAATTGTTATTTTTCGCAAAATGATGTGGTTTTCTTATTAAAATGTACAGGGGTCCCGCTTTGGAGAAAAAAAAATATGGTCACGTTAGTTATAACATGTCATATGTAACATAATCTTACCATAGACTTATACTATTATTATAGTATGCATTGCTAAATTGCTGAGTAGTGATGGGATATTGCGTGGCAGCGGGCTACCCGCTATTTGCGTTCCTTTTGTAGAATCGTTACAACTTACAATAAAGTAACGATTCCAAAAAAACTCATTAGGTACCTAATATCTACATAAACGTATCTACGTAAAAAAATTATTTAGTTACACGACGTGTGTGGTTTACCTATTTGGACTGGACTTGTTACGTACCGAGAACGATCAAATCAAGCCATCAAGGTTGAAGATTTAGGTTTAAACGTGTAATTCCTACTTGACAGAAAATTTGAAATCATAATATTCTTTAATGATGATTACAAGTTTTTATTAATGATATATGTCTATCAAATGTATTGTTATTATAATATATAATATTATGTACTATTGTTCAAATAATTGTAATAATAATAGTAATTTTATATTTTTTATACAATTTATATTTTACAATTGACATTAGGTATATTATGTATTTTACATACTGTATTATAACCATTAAATATATGATATTAATTTAATAAATTTAGTCTGTGGTTTATATTTTTACTTATTAGTTATTAGCTTATTACCAATATAATAGTATAACAATAATAATAATTTGCAATTTAAAGCTAAATATTTATTATTACTTGATTATTAGTTATTACTATATAGGGTTCTATGCATTATGATAATATGTTATGACATGTCAATACAAGTTAGATATTGCAATACATCAGCCACCCTTTTACCCACAAAACAAATAATAAATATCATTCACTAATCTTCTAGTGTCCAGTGTACTGTGTAGCTACTGTTGTTATTTAATAAATACACTCGGTTTAAATTTTTATTCTTCAAATTTGAGTTGTGAGATTTATTTGTAAAAATAATAGTCATGGATAGGAGAAACAGCTCAGTATGGTCATATTTTACTATTGTAGACAACGTTTATGCAAAATGTGATATATGCAAAAAAAGATAAATCATATAAGTCGTCATTAACTAATCTTAAAAAACATCTATCTAGTTGTCATATGATTTTCTTAAAACATGAACAAGGCGTAAATAAAGTAGGTAAATTACAAATTAATATCACATTAAAACAACTTAATTTTTAAATTTAATTAATTATTCCTAATATTATTAAAACTCTAGAATCAATCCAGAATTGTAACAGATATTGATGACCCTAGTAGCCCTAGTAGTATCCATCATAGTATTAACGAGCCTTCAGTAAATTCGGCTTCCCCATCATTGCCATCAACTAGCTCTGTACCTGGTACTTCTCATCTAACTTCATTAATTGATCCATCAAATGTAAATGTCTTTACTCAAATCCAAAATGGTCAATCCCAAATGCAAGCTGAAAATAATGCAAAATCACAAAAGCGTAAGCAACTGTCTATTGCCACTTACATTCCGAAAAAAACTTACCATTAATATGAAGAAAGATATAGATCAATCTCTTCTAAGTTTATTTACAAAAGATTATCAACCTTTTAAAATAGTTGAGGACAAGGGTTTTAAAAGCTTCGTTAAAATGTTGAACCCTAGTTATACACTACCAAGTCGCCAATGAATTTCTAAAGAACATATCCCAGCCTTATATGAAAAATGCATGAGAGAAATGAAAGAAGCAGAACATATTTGTTTAACTACCGATCGTTGGACATCTCGCAATAACGAAAGTTTTATGGCCATCACCATACATTTTGTTGATTCTAATTTTTTGTTAAGGTCGGTTCTTATAAGTTGCTCTGCATTTAATGAAAGCCATACTAGCAATAATTTGAGTGCAGAAATAAAAAAAAACTGTAGACGAATGGCAACTTGATGGTAAGGTAGAATTGGCCGTCTCTGATAATGCTAGTAACATATAAAATGCATTAACTTCATTAAAATTTATGGGATGCTTTGCACATACTTTAAATTTAGTAGTTCAATCGGCTCTTACTTTAGAAAGTAAAGTTAAGACCATCGTCACACATTTTCGAAAAAGTACAGAAGCCAATAATAAACTGAAAACATATCAATTCAATAATGGCGTAGACGAACCAAAAAAATTGCTACAAGATGTTCAAACACGGTGGAATGCCACATATTATATGTTACAACATTTTATAGAACTAGAAAGTTCCATAAGAGGGACATTGGGGTTGCTCGATAAAGCACCTCAGAGTTTAAATTGTGATGAATGGACATTATTAAAAGAATTGTGTACTGTACTTAGGCCTTTTGAAGAGGCTACTAAAGCAGTAAGTGGTGAATCTTATATAACTGCATCAATTGTATTGGCTCAAGGTTTATTAAATGCATGCAAAAAATTGTCGACGATGAAATTTCAAAATAGAACACATACTATTATAAAAAAACTTATTAGTAATATGGAAAATCGTGATGCATGGAAAAATTTTGACATGAGTAAAACTTTATGCCGGTGTACTTTTTTGGATCCTCGTTTTAAAAACCTCCCATTCAGTAACAATGCTGTGTTAAAGAAACAACAAAAAATGATGTTATTGAAAAAACGTCCAAAATAATATATTTAGAAAGATCCAAACAAATTGATGAACAAAATCAAGACCAACCTGAATATATTAGTGCAGACACTGCGTCAACGTCAAATAGTCTATCGATTTGGGAAACTATTGACACTAGCGTAGCTAAATTAATGCCTTCAGGGACCTCAAAGTCACGTGCAATAATTGAGGTTCAAAGGTACTTGGAAGATGGTATACTGAAAAGAAATTTAGATCCACTTAAATGGTGGAAAGATCATAGATATAACTATCCTTACTTAAGTATTTTATATAAGAGGACTTTATGTTGCCTTGGTACTTCAGTTCCTTGTGAGCATATTTTTTCAAAAGCCGGACTCATTTTAAATGATCGTCGTTGTCGTCTCAAAAGTGACAAAGTAGAGATGTTATTGTTTTTAAACTATAATTCAACATAAAATTATAATATTTAAATGTATACCTTGTTGAGTTAATAAACTTAAATGTGTATTTATTATCTAAAGAACTATCCAGTAGGTACCTATGTTATGCAATATAGTTATGTACTTACATACCTATTATTATTTATTGTAGGTATACTTTTGGTATAAGGTATTAACCAACAAGGAAGCTTATTTGTTTTTATTTTTAACTATACTTTATATTATTATGTAATATTTTAATAATTATTATTTATTATTCTAAAGTTACTCATGTTATTTTATATAATATATATTATTTAGTTTTATTTTGACCTATGTTATGTACTTACATATTATTATTTATTGTATATTTTTGGTATAAGGTATTAACCAACAAGGAAGCTAATTTGTTTTTATTTTTAACTATACTATATATTATTATGTAATATTTTAATAATTATTATTTATTATTCTAAAGTTACTTATGTTATTTTATATAAATATTATTTAGTTTTATTTTGAATTTTGAAACAGATATATTAAATTGCCAACACACTAAAAAAAAGTTGAAATTTTGAATATAATATAATATTTAATACATTTAAAATACATGTTTAACTATTCAACTATTACAACAAAAAAAAAACGCTTTCAAGTCAGTAAATAATAGAATAATAATTTTAATACGTTTAATTTTAATTTTTGTCAGCACTAAAATAGTAAAAGTTAGCAATTAAATACACAATGATAAGTAATAAGTGATTTAGACTATTTAAGTAGTGACTATACTCCGGCCCACGAGAGAGTATTACCGTCGCCCGACGAAAACTCGTCTGATTCCGCGCATTCACCACTACTCGGCATGTGCCGACCACTGTTCGGTACCGGTCGGCAGCGCTTAACGCTATACGGTGTATAGCGGTCTCGGAAATAGTGGGGGAAATGGGGACTCGGAACGGTCTCCGCCGTCATGACAAAATAAACAGGTATGCTGGCAACTCAAACCAACATGGCGGACGCTTTTCTCCGCTTATCATAGTCATTGTTATCAGTCAATTTTATTGTGAATTGTAAATTGTAATTTTTAAAATAAAGGTACAAATTTTACTACTTCTTACTTACTTACTACTACTTCTACTGATTGAACTCAGTTTTTATTCAAATAAAAATGCCGTTGTGTGCGTTTAGCGGTTGCTATAGTGGAAGTAGACGTAAAGATCTTGTACCTGATCCAAATGTACACTTACACAAATTCCCGAAGGATAATAAATTACGCCAGATTTGGCTTAAACAATTACAAAAAGGTTCGAATATTCAATCAGTGAATTTTGAAACAGGTATAAAAACAATTTTATTATAAATGGCATTGTTTTGTCTTATATTCTAATAATTTTCAGCTGTTATATGTTCATTACATTTTATGCCTACTGACATTGTCGATAAAACATTGACACAAATTAGTTTTGGGTATTCACCTAAAACATCCCGAAGGCTAAAAAATGATGCTATACCAATGAGGTAACTCTTTATTAAATATTAAATAAATGTGTCCATAATATAAATGTATTTATGCTCAGTATGAATAGATCTCCTTATATAAGAAGTCCGGAAATAATATATACATCGGAAAATATTCCAAAAATTAAAACACCAGTAGGTGTATTTAGTGTGATGAATGATGTTAATGAGACTAGGTATAATTTATTCAATTTTATTTTAAAATTTGAAGAATCAATAATATATTCTGTATTATAATTTAGCTTGATGATTAAGACTACTACTAGTCCTAAGTGTCGCCGCAACTTATTTGGTATGGAAAAAATTAATGAAAATGTAAATAATCACAATGTTTATGAAGATGAACACTATGAGAAGTAAATTTAATTAATTGTTTATTATGTGTTTTATATGTGTAGCTATTTTGCATGTCAAGTGTACGGATTTCTGTAGAAATGTTTTTAAAGTTTACTGGATAAAGTACTGTAGAACTGTGTTTGAATGTTTGCTGAATAAAGCCTGTGGAATCTAAAACAAAAAAAGATCAACAGACCTCAATATTTTAAATGAATAATATTTGTTCTTATTACATACATGGGTATTAATTAAATAACATGGTGAATTAAGAATAAATGTTAAACATTTGAAAGTCTCCATTTCAGTTTAATAAAGTAAACGTAAGACCATCAAAAAGTTTTTTTAATTTACACTAGTAATTTTTGTTAATAACTATTGTAATTTTTTTTTTTTTTTTTGAGGTTACAACTGTTTTGTGATTTTTTTTAAAATTATTTTTAATTGTTTATAATATAAATATATAATATTTGTATGTGTTATATTATATTATGGAATTATTTAAAAATGTATTATTATTATTATTATTATTATTATTATAATGTCTTCAGACTGAAAAATGATTATGAAAAATTGAAAAGTACAAATAATGAGTTGGTACAGAAAAATTTAAAACTAGAAACAACAGTTCGTAGCCAACAAGATTGGATGGCAAATGAAAAATTGAGGTTTGAAGGTCAGTTTAATGTAATTTTATCTGATTATTTCTCTCCCACCCAAATTAAAATGATACTCAATCCAAAGAAGAAAGTATATAAATGGCTACCATCTGACATAGCATCAGCTATTACACTAAGAAGCGTGTCACCTAAGGCATATCGGTATCTCAGAGAGAAAAAAAAGTACCCCTTACCAGGTTAAATATTTTTGTTATAAATGTAGGTGCATATACATAGTTGACAGTTATATGTAATTTAATTTTTTTAATAGGACTTTCAACTCTACGTAATTGGGCATCAACATTTTCTGTTGAACCAGGTATATTAAAAAATATCCTTACTCTGATGAAGGTTAAAGGTAAAAAATTAATAAAAAATAAAATTGAAATTGAAATTAATACTTTAATTTATAATATTTTAATAAAAAGGTGAACAATTAACACAGATTCAAAAAATTACGGTTTTGTCATTTGACGAAACGTATATTTCTAAACGTATTTGTTATGATAAAAAAAATGAACAAATCATTGGACCACACAATAGTGTCCAATGTGTAATTATACGAGGTAGACTTAAATCTATTTAGTGTCATATTATCATAAAGAATTTAAGCAATAAAAAGTAAAAATTTATTTTGAAAAATTAGGTCTTACTGAAAACTGGAAACAACCTATTTTCTTTGATTATGACACACCAATGACAATGGAATTGTTATTTCAAATTTTAAAGTGTCTTCAAGAAATAGGATTTGTAGTTGTGGCAATGGTGAATGACATGGGTCCCACAAACATGAGATTATGGAAAGATTTAGGTATTACAATTGAAAAAACTTCATTTCTCCATCCAATAACGTGTAAACAAATACATGTATTTGCAGATGTTCGGCATTTGTTAAAGTTGGCACGAAACCATTTCATTGACAAGTAAGATTCTGTTATCTAAAAAAAAAAAAACTAATATTTAATTATATTAAAATATTTAAAGAGGATTTGTTTTGCCTAATGGAAAATATGTTGGGAAATCGATTATTAAAGAAATAATTACAATAAATGATGATCATGATTTCAAATTTGCACATAAGGTCAGTGAAAGACACATCTCATTAGAAGGGCCCACTAGGATGAATGTGAAATTGGCCGCACAGGTATTTTCCAATACGGTGTCAAAAGCAATCGCTTTCCTTGGTGAGAAAGGCCTCCTAAAAACTAATAATTGGAAAGATGTAAGTAACATTTTCTTCAGACAAAATTACTAATATCTATATTACCGATTGGCATTTGGTTATATATCACTTGGTAATATAATATAATCAATGTTTTAAGAAATTTGATTTTTACATTTTTGTTTTGTTTAGGCTTCTGAAATGATTGATTTATTTAATAAATGGTTTGATTTATGTAATACCCAGCATAAATATGACAAGGTGTCAAAGGGTTTTGGTTTAGATTTTGAGAATCAAGAACAATTAGTTAATACAATGACAACATTTATACAAAATATGAGAATTCACGACAAAAAAACACTACTTCCTTTTCAAAAAGGTTCATTATACATATAGGTATAATGTTGAATGAAAATGAATATAAATTTATGTTAATTTATACTTTATAGGAATAATAATATCGAATACATCACTCCTGAATTTGTTTAATGACCTTAAAGAAATTGGAATTTCATATATTCTTACAAGGAAATTAAACCAAGATATTATAGAAAATATGTATAGTTATCTAAAGGGAATGGCTGGATCAGCAAGTAATAATATTACAGCATTAGATTTCAAATATTGGTAAATATAAGTTTAACTTTTTTAATACTCACTTTTAAAATTATTTCTTTTGTGTACATTGTTTAGTCTCCGATGGTATATTTTGGGGAAACATTCAGATTTTGTTTTTACAAGCAACACAAATACAGAAACTGTATTAGAAGATAATTTTTTTGAAGACAATGAATGTTTGACAAGTCAAATAATTAAAGATTCTGACATATTAAATAATGAAGAATGTCACAAAACTAAAGAGGCTATACTGTATTCTAAAAATTCTTCAGCCAACGTATCAGTTCAGGAAGAAACTTTTGATTTGTTAAAAGATTTTGAACTTGAAGTACATTAACCATTATAATATTTTTAAATATTTAGCCATAAGGTAGAGGTACCTTTATAATATAATTTAACACTTTTTTTAGATGAATACAGTAGATGCATTTGACAGCATTGAATTAGAATGTGTAGAGTATGTTGCTGGATATGTCGCCGGTAGATTTTATGAGAAATATCCACAGCTTATATCTACTAAAGAGGAAAATACCATGTGTTGGACAAATTTTTTATCGCGTGGTTGTTTAAAAATTCCAAGTCAAATGTTATTAGAAGGTATGAAATTATTAGCAACATGTTTTACAAAACAACACGGAAAAAATGTATCTAAAATACCTGGAGTCATGAGAACAATAACCGACATTATGAAAAAACAACTCACGGACTATAAATTGGACATTCCTGAGGAGGTGTTAAGTTGTATGGTCCGAACTAGAACATTTATTCGTATAAATAACATGAATAAATCTATATTATATAATAGTTCTTTACAAAGACCTAACAAGAAACTAAAAAAATTTACTTCATAGAATTTATAATATAATACACTTAAAAATAATAAAATAAAAAATGTACATACGTCTATTTTGTAGTTAAATAATTTATATTTTGTCATGGTATTATTCATGATAACAATGACTATGATAAGCGGAGAAAAGCATCCGCCATGTTGGTTTAAGTTGCCAGCATACCTGTTTATTTTGTCATGTCCGCCGTCAGTCTGCATGCGCAAAACGGTAATCGGGTAATACTCTCTCGTGGGCCGGAGTATAGTAGACACCTAATACCTATTACCTTTAATAGCTGTTGTAGTTACAGACAACAGTAAGAGTAAGGAAAACAGTTGTAGTTGACACTTAATATTTGACAGTCACTGTTACAGACTACAGTAACAGTTGTAGTTAACACTTGATATTTGACAGTCACAGTTTGTAGTAACAACTAACAAGTAACAACTACTTTAGTTACAGGTAACAACCTTTCAGTATTCTGTTAAGATGTTATCATGTTATCGGAGCTTATAACAGAATATCAGAAGATCGTAGAAAAAAAATTAGTAACTGTTATTTTTTCTATTGAGTAACAGCCTGTTATTGTTACTCGGTATATAACTGTTATAAAGGAATAACAATTCCTGTTATTTGTTACCATCACTAAATTTTATTCGTTTACCCGCTAAATGTTTATTAATAACACTGTTGAATTGTTCACATACGTTGTTGTCAACATTCATCAGTAAACTATCAACATTTGCGACTAAACGAGATACTATTTGGGATATTATATCGCTCACAATCCCTGAAGTCTCGGTGTCTTCGATCAAATTTTTTTCATTTATTGGTTGCGGTTTTTTACAATAGTATTCCTCACATCCATTATGGGCACCCATAATGTTTCGAAAACTGTTATTTATGTCTTGCCGTAGTCCTTAAATAATATATGCATATAATACTATAATACGATAATAGTGTTCATTTATAATGTTACCAAAAATATAATTTTTATAATCAATTTGCCTACTGCTTTTGGAAAATCTGTTAGGAATGGTAAGCCACTGCGATATTCAATTACCTTAATTATTGCAGCCCCAAAGCGTTTCATATTTGATTTTAAGTGATTTCTTATCGAAGTCGGGTACTTATTATTTAACGTCATAGCTCTTAATTTTGTTCCATAATTTCGCAATAAATGGTTCCGACATTCTATTTTTATTACTCTTAGCCTAGGGCCATAAGGCATTATATCATGTAATTTTCTTGTAACGCTTGAGCCTCCATCTCCTATAATATGTTTTTTGTATTATATGCAAGTAGTATGTATTTGTATGTTCACAGTCAGCTTATCCACGGTAAAAAAAAAAAGTTCAAGGCGGAATGTTTCACTTAGAGCACTCCGGTTTACCGCGTGGGATACAATACGGTGATTACACACACGTTGTCCACCAATTTGCCCCTTGCACAAAAATATTTACTGTATTCCATTTTTCACTGTTTTTTTTTATCAAAATTTGATAAATAAATTATCAATAATTTATTTTTTTACACCAATTTTATTTTATAATTTATATAGATTATAAAATTATAGATTATAAATGTTTAAAAAAATCACAATAATGGGGAACCTACATAATAAAAAAAAATCGAGACAGGGGGGTGGGAAACATAATATATATAAAGAGAATTTTCAAGATAAATGTAAAAAAAGGTATAAAATAGAAAAAGTATAAAATAGAAAAAACACAAAACAGGTGGGCCTAAGCCCTCACCTGTCGCACCCCGGAAATGTGCTCGATGTAAATATCTCGGGAAGCTGAGATGGTGTCGCTCACACACAGCTTCCGCATCAGGGCAGCATACGAGCGACTGCAAAGCGTCCTCATAAACGGGTCGTTGGCCGGATCCCACGAGCCGAGGGCACCAACTATGACGGGCACGACCGTTGCCTCGCACCCATGCAGCGCTGCCAACTCGGCCCGCAGCTGCTCGTACTTGCCCTTCTCAGCCGCCGCTGCCTCGAAAGCGGCTAGCCGGTTGTCGAAAGGCACGGTGACGTCCACGACGAAGATGTTTGGGCCCTTCTTCAGAACAATATCCGGTCTCAAGCCCTGGTTGCCCAGGACCTGATTCTCGGAGAGGACCTCAAACTTCGTGGATGCCGCCTTCTTGATCCTGGCGACTATGGCGTTGTGCCTCGCCATGTAGAGCGCGGTGTACCGCATGCAGTGGTCGACGACGTGGAATAGGCTTTCATTTATGTACCCACATCCAGTGTTGGGCGTAATCGATTAATTTAAGATTAAATTACGTAATCGATTACGATTACTTTATTAAATTACATTAATCATTAATCGTTTAATCATCTCTCAAAGTAATCAGTAATCGTGATTACATATTTGTAATCGTTAATCTTTATCGCAAAATTTATCGCAAAACTGTTTTTTTTTTTATATGATATTACTTAAAATAGTATGAATTTCCAAAATATCAACGATATTAAAGTCCATTAAGTCTAATTAATTTCATATATCTTATCTTATGCATGTTATAAGGTATTTTTCTATAGATATAACTTCATATTTACCTCATATCTACTTTAATTCGGTAAACGTACAATAAAATATTATGAGTAGGTACCTATTTAGTTGGCTTTATTATTCCGTGTTCATTGCATTTCGTAATTTTTGGTTTAATCTCGTATAATACATATATTACATTGTACTCTACAAAAATTTAATAATATAATGAGTGACAGTGAAGAATATTCTGTGTCTCAGAGCTCTAGCATGTTTTTATCTGTACCAACTCCGTCTCATCCTCCACCTCCACGGTCAATTGATGGTAAATTTTTTAAGATTTTAAATGAAAAATCATCAGAAAATAAAATTGTTGTGCAATGCGTTACATGTGAGCCGAAAATTGTAGAGTTGAAGGGTTATGGAAATTCATCTTCTAACTTTGTCACTCATTTAAAACGGCGAGATGGCCCAGATGCTATTGAAGAATACAAAACTTATTTAAAATCAACTGAAAGGCCAAATAAAAAAATTAAAACTGTTGCTAAACAATTGAAAACTAAAACAACCCAGGAAAACTTCGAAGCTGATATGATACATTTTTTTTTACATTCAATGATTCCTTTGAGGTGTGTAGAAGACCCATATTTTCTAAAAATGTTTGACACTTTAAACATATCTGATTGTGGACGTCATGTTTTAAGTCGGCGGTCTTTTTGTCGAAAAATTGATATTTTGTATGAAAAAAATATACTAGAAATTAAAGAAGAATTTAACGATGTAAAATTTGTTTGCACTACAGTAGATATTTGGTCTGGAAAAAAAAGAAGTTTTCTCAGGGTAACGGCTCATTGGATTTCAAAAAATAATTTAAATAGGATTTCAAAAGCGTTAGCATGTCGCCGTTTTAAAGGTAGTCACACTTATGACAAAATTTCTGATTTAATTCATGAAATAAATTCAGAATTTAACTTGGCTTCTACTAAGATTATAGCAACGATTACTGATAACGGCAGCAATTTCGTTAAGGCGTTTAAAATGTTTGGAGTTAAGAGACAAAACATCAATATGGTCGAAGAGGTAAATTCAGTTGATAACTCAGAGTCTGATTTAGAATCAAATCAAAATAATACACAAAATGACGTAGGTCACACAATTGATATCGAAAATATGTTGCCCATGCATTTTAGATGTTTTGCTCATACTCTAAATTTATGTGCCACTACAGATATAAATAAAGTCATAAAAAGCTGTGTTGAATTGTCTTCAATACACGACCAAGTAATAAATAAATGTAATATTCTTTGGAAATTACCCGGACGGCCTAAATCAGCCGAAATAATACAAAATATATTAGGACATACCCTAAGTAGACCTGGAGAGACCCGATGGAATAGTTTATACGACTCACTTCGACAAATATTAAGCATCAAAAATAATATTTTAAATTTAAATAGAGCTCTAGAAATAAATACCAAAAATGGTTTACGGGATCAAGATTTTAATTATATTGAAGAACACTTAAGGTGTGCAGCTCCAATTTCAGAAGCGTTAGATATAATGCAAGGGGAATTAAATACTTATTATGGTGTAGTATTACCGTGTCTATTAGCGTTGAGAAGAAAAATCGAAATATTAGCAAAACCCGACCATCATACTTGGATATATTGCTAACCTATAGTCCATGCTTTGTTAGAAAGTATTGAGAAAAGATTTCGAAATTATTTAAATTTCACTTCTCCAGAATCTCTTAATGCTGTTATTGCAGCATTGTCTTATCCACGTTTTAAAAAACGTTGGTTGACATGCGTTAAGCCTCAATTTCATGACAGGCTCATACAAATTTTCAAAAAAACAGCCAATGAAGTTCTTATTGGGAAAAATACGTTCATAGAATTAAAAAATTCTCCTGAAAACCAAACAACTGACGACTTTTTCGACTTTGGATCTTCTTCTTTAACATTAACCAGTATACCAAAATTAGAATTAGAAGTTTTACATTTTTTTGCTTATGAAGAAAATGACCTTCCTAACCTAAACAAATATCCAACAATCAAAGAAGTTTTTATTCAATATAATACTCCGCTCCCATCGTCAGCTCCGGTAGAAAGACTCTTCTCATTTGCTACTATGACAAATCAACCAAAAAGCCATAAATTATCAGATAATTTATTTGAAAAACGTGTTGTGTTAAAAGCAAATTTATTGTAAAAAATAAATATGTTTCAAATTCTACATCTTGGGATTGCCGTTGGTATTTATCATATATTATTGTTAGTTGTTGTATAGCATGCACCTAAATAAATCGAATTTACTATTTAAATTGTATTATTATTATCATATTATTATTTATATTTATTGATTTCTATTTTCTAATAAGTTAATTAAAAGAAAGTATTTTGTTTATAAGATGCATTTTTTTTATTATTTTATTGTTAATTTTGCCTTCACGTGTTAAATGTATTCATAACATCGCCCGGAAAGCGAAACCACCGGTTGCCGGATTCAAACCAGTCACCAGTGACTGTCCGTTTACGCACAGCCGTCTTATGCCGCTCGGCTATGACAGTACTTCAATATATAAGTTATTCATCCCAAATTCATTATTGAAATATCATTAATCATTAAAAATTAGTCATGATTACGAACTAACATATTTTGTAATCGTAATCAATACTACGATTACATTATGACTTTAATCATCTAAAATAATTTGTTATTGTGATTATTGATTACATTAATTTATATTATGATTAACAACTACAATTTTTAATCATAATCTTTAATCATTAATCAGATTACGATTTGCCCAACACTGCCCACATCGTCTACACCTACGGTCACCGGCTCGCCACGACGAGGAGCCATTCAGCGGCACGAGGTTCAGCCTGGCGCGATGCACAAAGCGCCAGTCGGCGAACCTCGTGAAGTCGCCATCTCTCAAGAAGTGGGAGGAAGCAGAGTGAACGGCCACGCACTCCACGGCTCTACCTTGATCTGGCTTCGCGATCAAGGCGTCGCTTCGTTTGAGCCGAAGAGTGTCGCGTACAGTTCTCATGACCGCCCGCCTATGCTTGAAGGTTGAGGTGTAAAAAAAGGTTTTAAGCTCATCGATCCGCTGCCAGGGCGCGAGTTTGCTCCTGGCAATACGCAGACCGATGGCAATAGTCTTGGCTAGGGTGGACAAAGGTGGAATGACGTTGAATCCGACCTGGGCACCGAGGAAGGTGGCCGCTTCGCCCTCGGCAAGCGGACGAAGGGGAGAACCTCGCAACAGGAACTGCGTGTCCCGGACACCCACCGGCCGTCCACCAGACAGGTGCAGCGATGCGCACTTGGCCGCATTGAGCCAGAGCCCAAGCATGTCCAGGCCACTGTGGGCCGCGTCGATGGACGCTTGGAGCTCTCCCGGACTGTCAGCTATGAGGCACAAGTCGTCCGCGAACGCAAGCACCCGGTGGTCAACGGACTCGCCCTGCAGGTCGATAGCCATAATGAAAAGGAGACCACTCAGCGGGCACCCCTGCTTGATGCCCGACCTCACCGGGATATCATTGGTCAGCCCTCCTGCCACGCTCACCGACGACGTCGCTCCCGTGTAAATGTCGCGGACAGCCAGAAGGAAGTCCTCGCCGGCCCCGCTCCTCTCGATTGCAGCCTCCAGAGCGGGGTGCGGAATTCCGCCGAAAGCGTTCGACACGTTCAGCCAGGCCACGCACTTGTCCGCCGCGTGGGTCCAGGCCTTCTCCAGCACTCGATTGAGAGTGTGGACGTGTTCGAACGCGCCGTCCGCCGGCAGGAATCCCTTCTGGCAGGGGCTGAGGACCTTGTTTGACATAAGCCACTCCGTCAGTCGTCCGGCAACACACCCCACGTACAGCTTGTACAGCATCCGGCTGAGGTGGAAAACTACACTTTGATCTTAGCCGATAGGCCGAGAAGCGATCATTTATATAGATTATAAAATTATATTTATAAATTTTTATGGTGAGACATTTAATGGGGACCTAAGTAGTAAAAAAAGATGGAACGTTGAGAGAGGGGACACACATGAAAATGGACTATCAGCTTAATATAAATCACATGACAAAAAAGTAAAAAAAGTAAAAAGTAAAAAGTACACATAAAAAGAATTCACAAAAGAATTCACAATTATACAAGTACATAGAAAAAATAGTTACAAAGTTAAAAAAATACAAACAGGTTAAAATATATATCAATAATAGTGTAAAAGTGTAAAAAGTAGAAAAATATGAGTAAAAGTATAACAATAATTCGCAAGTATAAAAAGTAAAAGGTATAAAAGTAAAGTAGAAAAAAGGGGAGCACAGTCATATATAAAAAAGGATCTAGCCCCTTTCCTGTCGCACCCCAGACAGGTGCTCAATGTACACGTCTCGTGATGCTGAAATGGTGTCACTGACACATAGTTTACGCATTAAGGTGGCATACGACCGGCTGCATAACGTGCGCATGAAGGAGTCGTTGGCAGGGTCCCAGGATCCGAGGGCACCGACGATGAATGGCACCACCGTCGCCTCACATCCATGCTCCGCTGCCAACCAGGACCGCAACTCCTCGTACTTGGTCCTCTTCTCCTCAGCAGCCACCTCGAACGCGGCAAGGCGGTTGTCGAACGGTACAGTAACGTCCACAATGTAGATGTTTGGGCCCTTCTTCAGAACTAAATCCGGTCTCAAGCCCTGGTGACCCAGGACTTGATTCTCGGAGAGGACCTCAAACTTTGTGGACGCTGCCTTCCGGATCCTGGCGACTATGGCGTTGTGCCTCGCCATGTAGAGCGCGGAGTACCGCATGCAGTGGTCGACGACGTGGGCTAGGCTTTCGTTTATGTACCCACACCGTCTACACCTGCGGTCACCGGCTCTCCAGGACGAGGAGCCATTCAACGCTACGAGGTTCAGCCTGGCACGGTGTACAAACCGCCAGTCGGCGAACCTCGTAAAGTCGCCATCCTTCAGGAAGTGGGAGGAAGCAGAGTGAGCAGCCACGCACTCGACGGCTCTACCTTGATCGGGTTTGGCGATCAAGGCATCGCTTCGTTTGAGCCGAAGAGTGTCGCGTACTGTCCTCATGACTGCCCGTCTCTGCTTTCCCCTCATTACTGTACCTTCGTGCGTGATCGAGGGGGCGCCCTCAAGCTTGACAAACTTGACACCAAGTCGCTTTGAGGGGTTTCGCGCCCTCGACCACACACTCATGACGCCCGTGCCCCGGGCCTCCCGGAACACCCCTTCGTCCACACCGGACAGGTAGGAGCCAACTTCTTGGATTGAGGGGTCCTTAGATATCCGCCTCTTGGTGACCTCCTCCACATGCTCGGCCGCATCCTCTGCCACCCTCGCGTCCGGTGAGGTGACAAGCTTGAAGGCGCTGTCCACCGCGGCGATATCCGAATCCTCCGCCAGGATCCGGATACCACAACACCCCCTCCTGGTCGACCCGTACAGGAATTCTCCTGAGGCCTCTTGCGGGAGATACAACGTCTTCTTTATCTCCGGCCTCAGGATTTTGTCGACCCTCGCCCAATGGGTCTTCGAGAAAGTCCCCAACCGTTGTAGATGGACGGTTGAGGGGTAGAAGAAGGTCTTTAGCGCATCGATCCTTTGCCACGGAGCAAGCATGCTCCGGGCGATGCGCAAGCCGATATCTATAACCTCGGCGAGGGTGGAGAGTGGCGGGACGATATTGAAGCCATCTTGTGCGCCGAGAAAGGTGGCCGCCTCACCCTCGGCAAGCGGGCGTAGTGGTAGGCCGCGCAACAGAAATTGGGTGTCCCGGACACTCACCGGCTGCCGGCCCGACAGGTGCAGTGATGAACATTTGGCCGCATTCAGCCGGAGCCCTAGCATCTCCAGGCTCCTGTGCGCCAAGTCGATGGAAACCTGGAGCTCATCGGGGCTGTCCGCAATGAGGCAGAGGTCATCAGCGAACGCCAACACCCGATGACCGACTGCCTCGCCCTGCAGGAGTGCCACCACCGGGTCTATGGCCATGATAAATAGTAGCCCGCTCAGTGGGCACCCCTGCTTGATGCCGGACTGGATCGGGATGTCAGCCGTCAGTCCCCCGGCCACACTCACCGACGACGTAGCCCCGGTGTATATGTCGCGGACGGCGGCCAGGAAGTCGGCGCCGGCCCCACTCCTCTCGATCGCCGCCCCAGGGCCGGGTGAGGAATGGCGCCGAACGCGTTCGACTTGTCCAGACTGTTCCAAGAGGCGGCGTTCAGCTGGTCGATGTAAAAATCACAGGAACACGGAGAGGCGACCAGACTGCTCCAAAAGGTGGCGTTCAGCTGGTCGACGTAAAAATCACTGGAACACGGAGAGGTGACCAGACTGCTTCAAAATACGGCGTTCAGCTGGTCGACGTAGAATTCACAAACAACTGGGCCTGCGTGATCCAAAAGGCGGCGGCAGCAGGCAGTTTGTAAAAATCACGGTGTACACAACAGCTGGTCCAAAAGGCGGGCTCCAGCCGGGCCTAACTGATCCAATAGACGGTGACAGCAGGACGAAGAATTCACAAAGTAGAATTCACGGTACACATAACAGCTGGTCCAAAAGGCGGGCTCCAGCCGGGCCTCACTGATCCAAAACACGGTGACAGCAAGACGGAGTAGAAATCACGAACGGAGAAACAGCTGGACCAAAAGGCGGGCTCCAGCCGGGCCTAGCTGACTGTAGCAAGATGTAGTAATGAAGTAGAAAGAAAAAATCACACAACACTTACTCCAGCAGCTCAAAAACGCAGCATACTGCTGGACGAATAATTTAGTCACTTTAAAAGTCCTGGGCATACCACTGCACACGGAACCAGTTTTACAATCGGTGGTATCTTCATTTGTTTTTATTTCACTCAACACGTCCAAAATTGCTTCCAATGTCTCTAATACTGTGGTCAAAGCGAATGATGTTGTCCATTAAAAATGTATCGAATAATAAATGACAGCTGCTCTTTATGAGACCCATCAAATTTCTAGTTATGCATAGACGAAAAAGTTCAGCAGAATTAATTTGTGACTTAATTACTGATAGTACATATTCAGCAACAGATTCAATGAGTAAGTTTTGTCTCTCCCACGAAATAAAAGAATATTCTTTTCTGGCATTGCTCTTCAAATTACTTAATATGTGTACTGATAACGTTTAGATCATTTTTCCAGCATTCATTATGTCCTCTAAAAGGATTATCTCCATCAATTGTATTACAACATCTCTATTAAAAGAGACTTGACGATGGTTTTCTTTAGTTAATGATGGTAAAATAGGTAAACAATGTGTACTTATTTTAATTTTCAGTGAAGCCATAATATGAGTTTCACATACTTCATGCTTGATTATGGACATTAAACAGTTTTTCCAGTTGTTGAAGCCATTCTTTATCCAAACATCATTTGATTTGGCACTATAAAGAATACAATACAAGTAAAATATTTTGTCAAGCTTTGGAGAGTATGTCAGCCATTCCCGATTCACATAGGTATTGTCGATTAATTTTCTTGAGTACCAAGAGCTATGAAAACTTCTGTTTGAAGTATTTTTGGGAAAACTTTTGTTTTACAATTCATATTCATTTGGCTGACAGGGACCTAACCTCAGAACCATATTTCGTAACTCGTGGGTCCATGATTTAATTTTAATAAACCTAACAGGATCATTTTCAAACATAGTATTTTCCTCAAATAACTTGTTTTGAACCGTAAAAGTTACAATCTGAAAAAAAGAGTAGGTCAGCATCGCAGTGGTGGAAGTTTGTCCATCGTCCCTTTGGTTCTCGGACAGAATAGTGTAATTTTAAAATTATAAAATAAAAATAAATATAAACTAAAATATTATATTTTAAAACTAAATAAATCATTGTCATGCAACGTTTAAAGAATTATTTACCTCAGTATTACTATTATCTGGTTGAACTACTTGATCTACTGGAAGTTCCTAGACAAAATTTATAAATATTTAGAAAAAAAGTAATATGCTTCTTAATACTTAAACATTTATGCATATAATACCTACTAAATACTAATATATTTTCAACCTAACAATAATTAAATATTGAACATTAATTTCAAACAAAACGAAATAATTACTTTAGAACTACTAGATCTGTGATAAAACATATCAGAAATGGTTTTACACGTCTTCCCAGCTTCCTTCTTGAGCAATTTTCGTTGTTTCTCTCTATGTTTGTCAGCTCCTCCATGGTATTTTCTTTTGCCTTCCATTTTCAATAATATGTACCTACTCTTTATAGTTTATGCGGTAGAACCATTGACATAATATAAATGGACTGCGCTTGATGTGTTAATTGTGGAGTCATTATTTGCCCTGATCTGGTAGTCAAAATCAATGGAAAAAAAAAATATAATTTTTCATATTTCCATGACAATATTTCTTATTATCATTGTTTCGAATATATTAAGATAATATTCACATTATCATCTGTGGTAAATATAATTGAAATTTGACAGTTGCAACTTTCTGAATTTCATAGTAACTTTAAGTTTTTTAGAAGTATAATTTTAAAAATGGTTGTTGTTTGTGGTATTGCATTTTGCAGAAATTGGAGTACTAAAGAAAATGATGTCATGTTGCATAGGTATGTGCAATTTTTGTATTTTATAATAATATAATTGAGAATATAATGTACAAATATTACTCTTATGCTCATATGAATAAATTAGTTAGTAAATAATTATTTTTGACAGATTTCCTGCTGATAAAATTCGTGCTGAATTGTGGTTGAAAGTTATACAAAGCCATCAACCATCATTCAACATTTCGAATCAAACAAGAATCTGTAATTCACATTTTGTTGAAACAGATTACACTAAAAAAAAATTAAATAAAGAGGCAATTCCAAGCATTTTTAGACCAAGTATAATATTTATAAAAAAAATAAATATTATATTTAAATATTATAATTTGTTAGTTATTATTTTAGCTCCACGTCGATCATTGGTTCGAATTTTTGATTTACCAACTGATGAACAAATTCGAATGATTTCTCAGTATACTGGAAATGAATCATTATTATCAAATATTTCTTCAGAGTCTGGTAAATAATTACTTATAAGTCTTATAAATTTATTTATATACATTCAATTTTTGATTATTTAGAAATTCCAGAATTTTTTTTAATTATCTATGATTTTATTATTATTTAGATTTCATTATGATAACACTCCTGGAAAACACGACTATTTGTTTCTCTCCTCCATGATAATTTACTACCAAGTTGAGGGTGAATGACCTAAGGACCTAAGGTATAGGGAATGCGCAGTCCATTTATATTATGTCAATGGGTAGAACTGTAGAAGTAAAAAAAATGTACTAAATAATTGTATTATTTCTTTTACCTTCATGTTGTCAACCACACTTAAATATTTTTTTTTGCATTAACACTAACTTAAGTAGTTTAGTAGTTACCTACATTTTATTAAGTATAGTAGTATACATTTTAATGTCATTAAAGACAATAAAGAGGGCAGAGGCAATAGGTATTAAATAACTACCTACCTATATATTGTTTTTAATTTAAAAATAAAAGTTTATATAATTATATGCAACTCATACTCATTAATACTCTAAAAACAAATAAAAATGAATTAAATAATATTTAAAATATTTAATTATTTGCTACTCACTTACCTAAAACGGTGTCAATAAAACTGCAGGTAATCACGCTGATACAATATTATGTATGGTGGACTGGTGGAGTCACAAACAAAGTTCACTTTTTCAAATGTTCGTAAACAATTAATAAATAATAATTAATAATAAAAATCAGTAATACACTACTTATACACGTCCTGACATTCTCTTGCAACAAAAATAATTAAGGAATTACAGCACTGTAGGTATCTAAAGTTTGATAACAAATAATAATAGGTATTTCTATTTTTGTCTCAATCCGTCACGACGTTGAAAATATGATGTTTGACTTCGAAAAACCCATAATCAATATAATAATATGGTTTCGAAGAAACATAAATGATGACAGTCGATAACACAAAGCAGTAGAGCACCGTCATGTACTTATTCAATATTTAAATGTACGATACTACGATGTAACTAATGGCTATAATGCCTGATTTGATTCATTATTTGTATACTTAATTTAGTTAATTTCTGTAGCTTTTGCCTATTAGCATTAAACTATGATTATTTCATATAGCGTTTAATACCTTTTATAACTTCTGCGGTCTGATGTCTGAAGACTCTGACCTTCAGCCCCCCTCTGATCACCGGCCCCCTTTTAAAAATGTGGTCATGCGGTGGCCTAAGTGTATACTGTCGGTTTTTTTACATAAGTACATACTACATACTGCACTGAAAATTTCAACAATAATCAAATAATGTTAATAATTACCTATAGTCTTTATTTAAAAGATATTATAATATGTACAACAAATAACAATTAACTTCCTAAATTATGTTTTAATTAAATATAAGTATTAAGTACCTAATTACATCAATATATTTTATAATAATCAAAACTATTTAAAACATTGTACTAATACGTATATATAGGAGATCAAACAAATGCACGAAAAGTACTCCAGGTCACCAATAAGTTACAACGTAAAATACGCGACATATTTACTACAAAATCTATTTAATCGTAATGAAACTATATTTTTTATGCATTTAAAAAAGTAATTGGGTTAGAAATATAAATCAAGTTATGGTGTATAATAATTTTTATGCTTTATTTATTGGTTGATATTTTTAAGCAAACATAAACTTTAATTAATAAATAGGTCGCGACTTGTGTACCGCATGCTAGTACTACATAAGACATACATGGGCGACCATTTACGCAACTGCATTGACGCGAAACGCTCTAATCGACCATCCGTGAAATAATGATGTACCGCTCACGCGATTACGAGTTACGACGCGCCGAACTTTATCGAATAGACGATGGGCGTGGTTACGGCCTACCGCGCCGGCGGCATACGGCGCACAACGCCATCACTTGAGCATTGGAT